CAACTCTAGACCCATCTACTGGCTTGGTGAGACTCAGATCCATTGGCACCAAAGGGATTCAAGACAGGTCACAACAAACCTGGCGGGACATTAGCCTCCTTTTCCTTACCCATAAATATATTCATGCTCCATATGTTTGTGTCTTGCCTTTTTATCTGTGTGAAGTTTTCTTTTCTCCAAACAACTCAGTGTGGAGTGGGAAAAGGTTGTTGGGATCATGCATGGTCTTGTTCCTCCTTTGCCTTGTCCTTCACTGGCATGATTTTGGCCTGACCTTCTGCATGCTTGTTGTCCCACAATGCTCTTCTTTCAGATATCGACCACTTATAATTTTTATATCGCTCATATTTGCAACAGTCCTGGGCTGGCACAGATGGACATTGAGCCAAAGTGTTGTGGTGTCTCTTCTCCACACACCCACAACCAAAATATATTTCATATTGACCACTTTCCAGATAAGAACTATATCATACAAAATAACCAAAGCCAGGATCCATCTGGAAATGTAACAGGGATTCTTGCTGGACTCTTAGGTGTATAAGCTAGTGTGCTTTACATAAAAATTATAGACACAAAGCAGAGAGATTTTTTCCTCCTTATTTCTACCATAACCTCTTCTGCTAAGCTATCCTTCACTTTTTAGACTGTCTTATTACGCCTGTTCTACAGATTATCTTAAATGTATTTCTTCTCTCAACCTGGAAACATCGCCACTGGTCTATGGCGAAGCAACAGATAGAGATGATGAGAGTTGTAGTCCACCACTCTTGAGGAAACTCAATAGGAGGAAGGCTGTTCCAAACCAATAAAAGAATGATAGTTGTAGAAACTCAACACATGACTACAAATGAATGCTCTTTTTCTGTTGAATACTTTATTCAAAGTCCTTATTTACAAATACCAGAGGAAATCACCTCTTTTCTGAAGTCTGGAGATTTCCTTCCCTGGTACACCTCTTTTGCAGAAGCCCAAAACATAATGGTGAAATGAATGGTGTCTTTATTGGTTTTTGAGAAAGTTGGCCTTTGACCTGTTAGACCAGTGACATTTATGTAACCCAGTTCATACTTGAATCAAAACGTTATTTGGTCCACTCTAAAATCAATACCACTTTGTCTCCATTTCAGTTTTACAGATGACCAAAGCCACAAAGGGTAGAATAGCACTTGAGTTGAGAGGGTTGTCAAAGTCTGCGAAAATGCTCAATTTATAGAAAGCTTTCTAAACCTTTGATATGTTTCAACAGTGATCTAGTGAAAGGTTGCTATGACAGAGCTAACTACAATCAAAGTTAATACAACTCAGAATCATTGCACCTAAGGACCTTTCCATTACTTCATCATGACTATCTTTTGCTGGGTTGTGGCTTGTGTGTTTTCACGTGAAGCACTGCATGCATAGAAACCTTTCATACTATATCTGGTGGTTCATTACATGTTGTGTCTATTTATGATTTCATTGTCTTCTTTTCCTCTGGAATGCATGTTGATATTGTTGAGTATTTCATGCCAGTGATGTTGATGTATGCCCTGCTGCACAAGCAATTTTCATCATTTCAGAGCCATATCATAAATTATTTCTCTTACCACAATAGTGTTATCATATTGATATTATTTCCTATTTGTTTCCAAAATTGATCATTCTCATTTATGCTGGCATCATTCAAGAGCAGATCCACTGCCCAAAAGGCATGGACTCGACCTTACATGATCATGTCCTGGGTTGTACAGAGTTATTCTGCATGCCTGATTCAACGTGTTACAGCTTTCATTGGTCCTCCTTGAAACTTATGGGAAAAGAGTATTATGCAGATATAGAAGATGCAAATATACAATGAAAAGACATGGGAGGGATCAAAACAAACTTTAAATCAGGGGAACATGTGGCCCTCCAGATGGTGATGAGACTACTATTCCCTTGATCCTTCACCATTTGATATGCTACTAGGATTGGTGGGCATTGTAGACCAACAACATCTGGAAGAGCTCAAGTTCTCCTCCCCTGGATCAAAGGTAGGCTAACTCCAGTTTACACACTAGCTGTGAGGTGATCCAAACCCAAAATCAGAACTGAAAAAATAGGAGTGCACCTTTCACCTCCTCCATGTATCCCATATAAGGTGCAGAGTGGAACCTGTTATGCATGGCAACCATTTCCATTCACCTCACATAAGGGACAATTGTACCATCACATACAGAACAAAAGATGAGATAGAACCTCCTTTGATCCAGGCAAATGAGCCCACTTGACAGGTCATGTAGTCTCCATTCAACAAAGGAACAGTTAACTAAGGCGATTGCTTAGTATACAAAAAATATGTCATCTTCCAGTTACTCTGTTCCCATTTGTGGACCTCCATGCAAACCATTATAGTGCTAGATGGTTAGTAGAGAACAGAGTTTGGAAAAGTTACTCCTTAGATACAACTCCTAAAATCTGGAATTCATGCTAGTTGGGAGATTCTGGGGATTTTTTACCCAACCAAAGTAGCTTTATCAAGTTCTAGTATGGAGAAGAGCACTTGCCTTTTCCTCTGCCAAATGAATTGTATTGTCTGGATAACTCAAAATCAGGTAATGATATCTCATGGGGATTCCTATAAAACTTCCAATATTTCCCCAATTTCTCATTTTTTGAGCTCCGATGCAGATTGTGCTTCAAGTTTTAAATATCATTAGATTTGATTTGATGACCCTTAGGAGAGTGTTTCAACTTTGTCCTTTTGTCAGTGGTGCCACTCCCAGTAGTAGAACCAATGTTTGGAGAAGTAATTTTTTTTAGAAAATGACTTCTAACTTCCCCCTTGCAATGTAGCTGCTCCAGAGAGTCATAGTCCAAAAACTGACCTTCCAAAGTTTTGGGTACCACTATTATTGTGACGTTAAATAATGGAGGTGTTGTATATAAGATAGCAATTATATTGGTTTGATTCCACTTTCATTGTCATGGCTGAATCTTTCCCAATCTTGGAATTGACAACTAATTTGGTTATTTGGATTTTTCTGCTAGACATCTCTTGTTTTCTCCTCTGAATTACAGTTACACTCAGTGCCTGACCATTGTTGTGTGTCTTCAAGACATTTCCAACATATGAAACCTGAACTTGTGAACTTATCACAAGGTTTTCTTAGCAAGATTTGCTCAGTGGCTCTCCATGGCCGAGCAAGTATTAGAATCCTGGCTGATGGCTCTCTTGCTGCATTACAGAATTAAACTAATCTAATCCTAATTCCCTCTCTTCTCAGGGTACTTTTGTACTTTGGGCTGTTGTAGGGTTTTGGGGGGCTATATGGCCATGTTCTAGAGGCATTCTCTCCTGACATTTCGCCTGCATCTATGGCAAGCACTCTCAGAGGTTGGGAGGTTTCACAACCTCTGAGGATGCTTACCATAGATGCAGGTGCAACGTAAGGAGAGAATGCCTCTAGAACATGGCCATATAGCCCGAAAAAACCTACAACAACCCAGTGATTCCGGCCATGTACTTTTGTACTTTTTTTGAGCCTCACCAAACTAGTCATTCCAGGATTCCGTTAAGGTGCAGCTATGACAAAGTGGTATAAACCAATTGATCTGTATACTACAGACATATAAACATAATGTGAGTCACAGTACTGCAAATTCTTGGAGCCAAGTTCAGTCCATCTTCAGGTAGGGCCAGGAGAAAATCCATTCTGGAACCACAGAAGGCAACAGCTAGTCAACGTTAACCATAAAGATCTGTTATGGGATAAAGCATCTTATTACATGTTCTGTAAAAGTTAAAAAAAACAAAACAGTAATTTTCAGCTGAAAGGATATTAGATGTATTTGTGCTCCTTGTTTCAGGAATTTAACTATCCACATGATCAAGGGCAAATTGCAATTCCCATGACTGTTGGGACTAGGGAATAGGAAGGTCTCCCAACTGTTCCAAGAACTGCTGTCTACAGTATCTTGAGTATAGATTACACACGCCCTATACGTCCACACAAGAGTGCATGTTTTAAAAATATTGGGATTACTTCCATCTATAATGATTCATGTTTGTATGAGGAGTTTCACAAGATTAAGACCTTACATTATTTTGTTAATCAGAAGGAAGCTGCTCTTTCTTGTTCTTCCCAGCACATTCCCTGGAGCCGTAGCTATTCTGAGAATGCATCTTTGACATCAGAGGAACAATGGTATACATGCTACTAACCAGGCGATAGGTTACTATAAATATTACACTCTTGTGCATCCAAAGGATCTTGAGCTGGCCACAATACTTGAAGATTTTAACCACATATAAAATGTTCATAGTTTTGAGGACATCGCTAAATGAGAAACCAGGCCACCAAGTTCTATCCTAGATATAACCATCCTTTGATACAGAGATTGCACTACTGCTTAAACATAGGGTGTCTTGGTCTTTGGTCCTCCAGATGTTCTTGACATCACCTTCCAGAAGCTCCAGAGAGCTTGGCCAATGGTGAGAAATTCTGGAGCTTGTTGACCAAAACATCTGGAGGATCAGAAGCTGAGAAGCACTGCTTTAACATCTCCAGCTCAGCAAAATACCAAGTGGGTAAAGTGACTTTTTTCTTGGCTCTGTAGTATCACCATTGCACCTTCATCAACTTTGGTTCCAAACAGTTTCTTATAGCCCTGGAACTATGAAAACAGTCTGATGCCATCCAGTTGTTTTGGGCTATAACTCCCAGAATTCCTTATTATTGGCTAAGCTTAGGACTTGGCCATTTGCTGGTGAGAATTTGAGACCAAAACAACTGAAAGGCAACAAATAGTTGAGTAAAAACTATCAACTTGATCTCCAGCTGATCCTTAAATGCAGAGTGTACTCAATACTCAATTTAATGGTATCGCATACAACACAAGGATTGCCCACTAGTTTTGTATAACTGCATAGTATTGGTCCATCTTTCTTCTTAATGCAATGTGTAAAGTAGCCAATTTGGAGTTGCATCTTACAGTAGACCCCCGGTGATAACTGCCTGCTTTCCTCTCATTCATCAAAGGTTGTGGTCAATGCCTTGGTAGGCGCCATACCTTCTATCATGAACGTTCTGCTTGTCTGCCTCATTTTTTGGCTCATCTTCAGCATCATGGGAGTCAACTTGTTTGCCGGGAAGTTTGGGAAGTGTATCAACAAGACAGAAGGGGATGAGCCTTTGAACCACACAATTGTCGACAACATGACTGAATGCCAAAGTTTTAATGAGACAGGAGAGCTGTACTGGACAAAAGTCAGAGTCAACTTTGATAATGTTGGTGCCGGCTACCTGGCTTTGCTGCAAGTGGTAAGTTCAAGACACTTTGGGTGATTTTACAAGTTATCCCTTGATCAAAGAAACCTTCCATCAATTCTGTGATCTGTTTCATTGTTCTAAGACAGTGCTTCTCAACCTTCCTAATGCTGCAACCCTTTAATACAGTTCCTTGTGTTGTGGTGACCCCCAACCATAATATTATTTTCATTGTTACTTCATAACTGTAATTTTGCTACAGTTATGACTCGTAATGTAAATATCTGATATGCAGGATGTATTTTTATTCACTGGACCAAATTTAGCACAAATACCTCATATGCCCAAATTTGATAACTGATAGGGTTGGGGAGGATTGCTTTTGTCATTTGGAAGTTGGAGTTGCTGGGATTTATAGTTCACCTACAATCAAAGAGCATTCTGAACTCCACCAACAATGGAATTGAACCATACTTTGAACACAGAACTCCCATGACCAACAGAAAATATTTGCAGGGTCTGGTGGGCACTGACCTTAAGTTTTGGAGTTATAGTTTGCCTACATCCAGAGAGCACTGTGGACTCAAACAATGATGGATCTGGACCAAACTTGGCACGAATACTCAATATGCCCAAATGTGAACACTGGTGGAGTTTGGGAAAAATAGACTTGACATTTGGGAATTGTCGTTGCTGGAAATTATAGTTCACCTACAGTCAAAGAGCATTCTGAACCCCACCAACCATAGAATTGGGCCAAACTTCCCACACAGAACCCCCATGACCAACACAAAATACTGTGTTTTCTGATGATCTTTGGCAACCCCTCTGACACCCCATTGTGACCCCCACAGGGGTCCTGACCCCCAGGTTGAGAAACACTGTTCTAAGATGTTTAGCAAGGAAAGCATTGAAGATTATTAAAGAGGTGGTCTCTTTTTGAATCCTTTGGCCCAGTTCCACACATGTATGGTTTCCCCTTTCACCGATGGGAGCTTATCAGGACTCCACAACAGTGCAATATAAGTACCATAGTTGGCTGTAACACATTACCTGTTTCCTTGTTTTTAATTCTTGATTATGGTACCAAAGCACTGTGAAATTACATTTCAAAAACAACGCGCATCTGATTTGGCCTCTGTGCCACTGGAGCAGTGAGTCCACTCTAGAATGTAGTTTGAACTTTAAAGACGCTATCTAAATTGCTGAATTCATTGCCTTGGGTAAGGCTTCTTCTAAAGTTCAAACTAAAACCTGGAGCAGATCCACTGCCCAAATGGTATGGAGGCCACCAACCTTGAGGTTCAAACGTAACATAACGAAAGGGGACATGGCAAACTCATCGATGCAGTGAGTAAGATTTTCTTCTACTTACTTTGAAGGGGTATTTTTGTTTTGGATTTTCCACATTTGAAATAAGAAATGATGCAATTAGTTACTTTTATATATCACAACACAAAGGCAATGGCTTTTTAAATACTGTACTGGGAACAATATGCATTTTAAAAATAGCTTCCCAGGCTCTGGAGTTGACATGTGCATGAATGCCCATATGGAAGGATCACCCCTTTCTAATCCCAGTAAGGAAACTGAAAGTGGAGGGGAATTCAGAAGAATTAGAATGAGAATGAGAAGAAGTAGATTAGAAATAGGCTCCACTATTTCTCATTTCCATCCTGAAACCTAAGCTGGCAAATATCATTTCCTTTGATACCGAACAGACTCTTTTAGAGAGAGAAACCATTTTTGCTGTACTGCAGAACTTAACTTTCTGCTGAATTTATTAGGGCATTACATAGATCGATGCCGTGACACACCGGGCTTTTTTTTTTCCTCTAGACTCTGCACAATTTGAAAGTCCCTGTTTTTTATCTGTTTATTTTCCCCGCTTGCAATTAGTAATGTTGAAAGAGGGGGACTTAAAATAGCTTTAAAAATGAAATAGAAAGCAAAATTCAACACAGAAGCTTGCTGGAACGCCAGCTTATGTCCTTCTTAAAAGCCAGGAGAAAGGTAGGGCTGAAAACACAGTCTAGTAGACTGATGTGCCTGACCCACATGCGTATCCTAAAAAGTCTCAGTTCAAAACCCATTCTAGATGAAACGATGAACTTAGAATCAGATAATCATTGAGTTGGAAGAGATCTCATGGGCCATCCAGTCCAACCCCCTGCCAAGAAGCAGGAAAATTGCATACAAAGCACCCCTGACAGATAGCCATCGAGCCTCTGCTTAAAAGCCTCCAAAGAATGCGCCTCCACCACACTCCAGGACAGAGAGTTCCACTGCTGAACAGCTCTCACAGTTAGGAAGTTCTTCCTCATGTTCAGGTGGAATTTTCTTTTGCTGTACTGCAGAACCTAACTTTCTGCTGAATTTATTAGAGCATTACATAGATCGATGAGTTCCACTGCTGAACAGCTCTCACAATTAGGAAGGTCTTCCTCATGTTCAGGTGGAATTTTCTTTTGCTGTACTGCAGAACCTAACTTTCTGCTGAATTTATTAGAGCATTACATAGATCGATGCTGTGACACACAGGAATTTCCTTTCCTGTGGTATGAAGCCATTTTTCCTAGGGCAGCAGAAAGGAAGCCTGTTCTCTCCTCCCTATGACTTCCCCTCAAATATTGATACATGGTCCTCATCATGTCTCCTCTCAGCCTTCTCTTCTGTAGGCTAAACATGCCCAGCTCTTCAAACCACTCCTCATAGGGCTTGTTCTCCAGATACTTGATCATTTCAGTTGCCCTCCTCTGGACAAATTCCAGCCTGTCAACATCTCCCTTCAGTTGCAGTGCTCAGAACTGGACACAGTGTGATTCCAGGTGTGGTCTGACCAAGGCGGAATAGAGGGGTATCATGACTTCCCTGGCTCTAAACATTGGTTTTTTGTTTTTTTGGGGGTTTTATTTGTCGCTCCATGACATTATTGGCTCATGTTCATCTTCTTTCTGTCCACAAGGACTCCAAGATCTTTTTCACACGTGCTGCTGTCGAGCCAAGCATCGTCCCACCTTTGCATTTCATTTTTTGTTCCTAAATGAACTATCTTGCATTTGTCACTGTTGGACTTCATTTTGTTGGGTTTGGCCCATTTCTCTAATCTGTTAAGATCATTTTGAATTCTGCTCCTGTCTTCTTGAGAAAAGGCCATTTCCTCTAGCCATACTAGGGAGAAGGTCTCATTAAACGAAGCTACACATTCTGTAATATGTTTAGATTGTGTTAACAATACCTTCCAATTGTCCCAGTTTGGCAGGTCAGTCTCAATTAATCAAATCTGAATGTAGCGAATGCTTCCTGTCCTTATTCTGGAGTCCACTCGGACTGTTCTGCCTTGGGCAGATAGAGTCTTCTGTCAGACACACCAGGCCCTTTCATATTGCACAGTTGTAGTGTTATGATTCCACTTTAACCTCTGTGGTTCCATCCTGTTAAATCCTAGTATTTGCAGTTTAGGGGAGAATAGAAAAACTCCAGAGGCCATCCAGTCCAACCCCATTCTGCTATGCAGGAACTCAATCCAAGCAAACTGGCAGATGGCCGCACAGCTTCTGTTTCAAAAACCCCAAAGAAGAAGCCTCCACCACACTCTGAGGCAACATATCCCAGGAGCCTCCTAATGTTAAGGGGAAATTTATTTCCTGCACTTCGTTGAACCCATTGCTTTGCGCCCTAGTTACTGGAGCAGTAGAAAACAAGCCTGCTCCATCTTCAAAGGAACATCCTTTCAAAGATGTAAGCACAACTATCAAGTATCTTCCTAACCTTCTCTTCTCCAGGTTTAGCATACTCAGCTTCTTAAGCCACTGCTCATAGAGATTCATGGCTTTCAGACCTTTGACCATTTTGGTTGCCCTTCTCTGGACACCTTCCATCTTGGCCCTATCCTTCTTGAATTGTGGTACCCAAAACTGGTCACAGTATTATTCCAGGTGAGATCCAAGGCAGGATGGAGTGGTTCTTAGACTTCTCAGCCGGAGAACAATAGTCCCTCTCCAATATGGAAACATATGTAGGATGGATCCATGGCAGTTAAAGTGAATTAAAAGTGCTGTATCACTTGGACTATACATTTACACCTAAGCCCCTTGCTTTTCCCTTTTTGCAACATGCAAAACAGGGACCAAAAGTTGAGGGAGCTGTTTTGGCTTAGGGTGACATTAGAGACACATGTGGGAACCTGTAGAGCTGCTCTTAGGAATTTTGATTGAACACACTCTATCTAGGGGTATAATTTGAAAAGGGTATTAAGTTGGGGTAAAATCCCTTAGCATACCATCCAAAGTTCCATAGGTAACATTGAAGATACACTTGGAAGATGCCCAAATGTTCCATCCATCCCATCTCCCTCCGTGCCCCAATTACAGACAGTTGAAGGTTCTTCACTGCCAGCGGTACTAATTTTGTCGGCATCTGCCTGTTCCCATTTCTTCTGGCCCATGGCGCTCCTCCACAAATGCATCACTTCCCCACTTTCAAGCCCAGACCCAGCATCTCTCCTTCCTCTTTCTGTGGCTTCACAAGGTTTCTGTTTCTTTCCCTTTGACTCCTAGTTATCCACAGTCTACTGGTTCGAAGCCTCGAGCGCATATGCCACACTACCCTTCCGAGCAAAGACCTAATCATCGACCATACGCTTGCCTTGAGATGAATTTATCAGCTTTAATCTCATTCGCCCCCACAAGACTCCACACACACACACATGCAGGCTTTAGTAGAAGACAGTATTTTAGATAGCTTTCTTGCAGCCAGGATAATATCAAGCAACACTCGCATGAAGATCTTGCCACCTCCAGATCTGGTCTGTAAGTGGCTACTAATTTCCTGATAATTTCCCCGGCAGCCTCATTTTTCTGCTCTCGGTGATATCGCAGCTTTTTTGCTGAGTGTGTAGCGAAGGATTCCAGAAGCCGACCAGGGCTTTAGATTATCTCACTGCTCGGAAACTTCAGGGATTGGATGGATGGACAGGTTGGGTGGGAGAAGCCATTGCAATGACAGCTACGCTTTGCAAAATAATCCCTCTTCAATCAGTTCATGAAGCGCTGTTGTAAATTTCACAAGGTGGCCATGATTGTGTGTCTTTTAATGCAAAGTGCAATTTCTACTCCACCTTGGAATCTTGCAGAACAGTGCACTAGGATAGAAATGTCACAGCGACGTTGTACCTTCCAACATTTCACAGACTGCATGTGACCAGAAAGTGTCAGAATGTGGTCAAGATACAGAGGAAGAACCCACAACCTAGGAGAGACTGCAGCAGTTTGCTTTTGCCTGAGCCTATTGGGAAGGGACCCCCTCCTGTCCTATCTTTCCTTCTGAGTTAGTTGAGTGCAAACTAATTCTGCATTTCACTCTCAACTTGAAACAATTAAAGTAAGCTGAGGATAGAGGAGGAACGGAGGAAATGGAGAAAGAAACCAGAACATTTTAGACACAGCTGGAAAAGTAAAGGATTAATTGAGACTTTCCCTGCTAAATCTAGGCAGTGGCAGGCATGCAAGATGCTGGGTTGTCTCACCAATGGGAGTGAGATGAAAATTGCATCAATTTGGAGAGCATGCTGTAGACCAGCATTTCTCAACCTGGGGATCAGGACCCCTGGGGGGGTTGCAAGGAGGGTCTCAAAGGGGTCGCCAAAGGTCAACAGAAAACACAATATTTTCTGTTGGTCGTGGGTATTCTGTGTGGGAACCTAGTCTTTCATCAGAATGGTCTTTGATTGTAGGTGAACTACAAATCCCAGCAATGACAACTCATAAATGTCAAGGTCTATTTTCCCCAAACTCCACCAGTGTTCACATTTGGGCCTATTGAGTATTGGTTCAGATCCATCATTGTCTGAATCCAAAGTGCTCTCTGGATGTATGTGAACTACAACTCCAACACTCAAGGTCAATGCCTACCGAACTCTTCTAGTATTTTCTGTTGATCATGGGAATTCTGTGTGCCAAGTTTGATTCAATTCCATCACTGGTGGTGTTCAGAATGCTCCATAATTGTAGGTGAACTATAAATCCCAGCAACTACAACTCCCAAATGACAAAAAACAACCCCTGCCCCAACCCCACCAGTATTCAAATTTGGGCATATCTGGTATTTGTGCCAAGTTTGGTTCTTTGAATGAAAATACATTTTGCATTTCAGATATTTACATTACGATTCATAACAGTAGCAAAATAACAGTTGTGAAGTAGCAATAAAAACAATTTTATGGTTGGGGGTCACCACAATATGAGGAACTGTATTAAGGGGCCACAACATTAGGAAGGTTGAGAAACTCTGATCTAGAGAGTGATAGGTATGCAAGTTGGTGGGTTGCCTCACCAATGGGAGTGAGATGACGGCTGCATCAATTTGGAGAGCATGCCATAGACTGAGACTAACTTCTTTCTTCCCATCCTAACCTCCTTGAACAGGTGAATCACCTAAGAAGGACAAAGGGACTCTAGGAAGGCTCAGCCTTCTTTAGGCGCCCATGAAGCAATTTGCAAAAGAACCAAAACAGAACAAAACAGTAATTTGTTTCTATGAAGCAACCTGTTGTTCTTAGATCCATCTGGGGATCACATCCCACATTTGTTCCAAAAGGTTTCCATTATCCCCCCCCCCCCAAAAAAAATAATATTTTCAGTAGCTTACAGGGTAACAGAAGATGGAAAACTGTCTTCAGAAGCATTCCTTGACTGATGATCCCAAGATATACTCTTGTTCCATAGCATGAATAAAAGGCTCAGGCAAGAATAAGCAACCTCTCCGCTTTCATGCAAACCCAAATTCATGGGGCGATTAGCAGCTGTGAAGAAATTATTTCCCCCTTCACACATCATCTACAAAATGAAGCACAACCCAATAAAGTCACAATTAACACAAATGCTTATTATAATTATCCTAATTACAGGCATTGCTTTTTTCCCAGGCAACTTTTAAAGGCTGGATGGAAATTATGTATGCAGCGGTGGATTCACGAGAGGTAAGCTGCCCCCATCAGTGATGGTTGCTTAGTGTCTGATACGTTTTTTCCTTTTTGGCCATTGGTGGGGAGGGCAATAAGTACTGCTTGCTGTATTTGTTGTTGTTGTTGTTGTAGTAGTAGTAGTAGAAGAAGAAGAAGAAGAAGTATTCTGGTTTTTTTTTCTCAAAAGTGGAACACAAAGAATTTGCAATTTGAAAAGAAAATACAAAAAATAAAACATACAGAGAGCAAACACAAATACACCATTATAAAATAATAGAATCCTAGAGTTGGAAGAGACCTCGTGGGCCATGCAGTCCAACCCCCTGCCAAGAAGCAGGAATATTGCATTCAAAGCACCCCCAACAGATGGCCATCCAGTCTCTGTTTAAAAGCTTCCAAAGAAGGAGCTTCCACCACATTCCAGGGCAGAGAGTTCCACTGCTGAACTGCTCTCACAGTTAGGAAGTTCTTCCTCATGTTCAGGTGGAATCTCCTTTCCTGTAGTATGAAGCCATTGTTCCATGCCCTAGTCTCCAGGGCATCAGAAAACAAGCTTGCTCCCTCCTCCCTATGACTTCCCCTCACTTATTTATACATGGCCCTCATCCTGTCTCCTCACAGCCTTCTCTTCTGAAGGCTGAACATGCCCAGCTCTTTAAGCCACTCCTCATAGGATTTGTTTCCAGACCCTTGATCACTTTGGTTGGCCACCTCTGGACACATTCCAGCCTGTCAACATCTCCCTTCAATTGTGGTGCCTAGAATTGGGCACAGTATTCAAGGTGTGGTCTGACCAAGGCAGAATAGAGGGGGAGCATGACTTCCCTGAATCTAGACACTATACTCCCATTTATGCGGTCCATTAAACTATTTTAACCTGGATACTAATCCTGGATGCTACTGCTTTGGAGGCAGAACTTATTTTTTTTGTCATGTCAGGAGCAACCTGAGAAACTTCAAGTTGCTTCTGGTGTGAGAGAATTGGCCGTCTGCAAGGACGTTGCCCAGGGGACGCCCGGATGATTTGATGTTTTATCATCCTTGTGGGAGGCTTCTCTCATGTCCCCATATGAGGAGCTGGAGCTGATAGAGGGAGCTCATCCGCATCTCCTCGGATTGGAATCTGCAGCCTGTCGGTCTTCAGTCCTGCCAACACAGGGGTTTAACTCACTGTGCCACTGGGGGCTCCTGGAGGCAGAGCTAATTCTGGGTTTGAGAAGGTTTCAGGCAAAGCGCATTTTAGTTGGGGGAGTCGTTTCCCAACGATTGGGCTTTGGAAATGTCATTTTGAAGGACAAGGCCCAGATGCAATGAATAGGTTCTTCTTTTGAAATGACATTTAATATTCAGGATGCCTGTGGATATTGACCATTCTTCTTGCTTTTCCCTCTTTGTTCTTCAGCGCGAGCAGCAACCTGTGTGGGAAGCCAATTTGTACATGTACCTCTACTTTGTGATCTTCATTATCTTTGGCTCTTTCTTCACTCTGAATCTTTTCATTGGCGTCATCATTGATAATTTCAATCAACAAAAGAAAAAGATAAGTAGTGCCTAATTTCTTATGCTAATACAGTGGTTTCCAACCTGTGGTCTGTGGACTACCAGTGGTCCGCAAGAACTAAAATATGGTCCATGTCTTCACTGTTACTACACCGTAGCAACAAGAGCGACTGGTCTTGCGAAACCCTCTTATAGTGTCGATGCTTATTAAATATGGTTTTCTGTGGGTGTGCAGATGGTGACTACTGGATGGCATATGTTCTGTATCAGAAACTAGAGCTGATCCAATGCAATTTTCTGAATCAGCACCCCAAATGACCAAACTGAACATAACGTTGACAAAAAACCGACTGGTACCCTTTCGGTACTAATATTGGAGAGTGATCCCTACTCAAATTGGTCCCTGGTCAAGAGGTCCGAGATCAAAGAAAGGTTGGGAACCACTGTGCAAATGGGTGAGACTGGGGCTTGGCACAAAAAGGGTTTCCTGAACTTGCAAAAGGTTTGGGATTGTCCTTGGGTGCATTTACACAGCGGAATTGAAGCAGATTGATACCATTTTAACTTGTGTGAATCAGTGCTATCGACTCCTGGGATTTGTAGTTTTACAAGGATGTTTGTCTTCCCTGCCAAAGAACTCTGGTGTCTCACCAAAATACATATCCCAGGAATCCAGAACTCTGAGCCACAGCAATTAAAATGGTGTCAAACTGCAATCGTGTAAATGCACCCTAAATTAGAACTACATAATTGCAGCACTGAATGCCAGCAGTAATTTACATCTTGCTTACTTATGAAACTATGGCTATGAAATATTTTTAGGTGCCATACAATTTTAAAGTAAAGCAATTATACCATTAAAAAACACACAAACATCTCAAAATGCAAAACAAGACAATACAATGCAATAAAATTAGAAAGGGCACCGCAAAGCCCACATAATCTTGTTTTTAAAAAATTGTGCGCAGAATCTCAATGTGCAATTTGGAGAAATTAGGAACTGAAAGCAGACAGGGAACAAAGCCACCTACTTACTATGGGAATTAAAATGACAAAGGCCTGGGAGAACAATATGTGATAACAGAAAGAAAGAAGTCTTTGCAAAGGCCACATTTTCTTCATGTTAAATACCTTCTGCAACTCTGGCATGCTTTTCTTTTCTTTTTTCCAAATTCAAAATAATAATAGCATTTTCCCCCCTCCCTTTACTTAGGTGGACAAGACATCTTTATGACAGAGGAGCAGAAAAAATACTACAATGCCATGAAAAAGCTGGGATCTAAGAAACCGCAAAAACCCATCCCACGGCCATTGGTAAGGGCACCAAGTTGCTATTATGTGCCTTCGAGTCAATACCAATTTTGCCATAGGGCTTTCCTGGCAACATTTATTCAGAGGAGGATTGTCATTGCCTTCTTCTGAGACTGAGAAAATGCATTGCGTGGAGGTGTGGCACTAACACTGTGGTGTACTCCTTTGGGAGCTGCTAATGTGGCACAAAAATCGCCTAAGGTGTGGTGGGCTAGCCACAATTTTAATGCCAGGACTATGTCTGTCAAAACTTGCCAGGGCCTAACCCTGAGACTCCTGCTTTCATGGATCATCTCCATGTGGAGATGATTTTGCAAATTGTCCAATTTTGAGGGAGCTTTGTTTGGGATGAGGGGTCAGAACTGTGTGCAAAGCTTCTGCTCAAATAGTAGAGCAGCCTCTAGCTACAATTTTCATGGTGTAAATGCTTATTTACTGATATCCGGAAATACATTTCAGGTAGTCTCATGTATTAACCTCGGGCTCTTCCACACAGCCATGTAACTCAGAATAACAAGGTGGATAATCTACATTATCTGCTTTGAACTGGGCTATTTAAGCCCACAATGCCAGGTAGAATCATAGAATCATTGAATCATAGAATCTAAGAGTTGGAAGAGACCTCATGGGCCATCCAGTCCAACCTCCTGCCAAGAAGCAGGAATATTGCATTCAAATCACCCCTGACAGATGGCCATCCAGCCTCAAAGCTTCCAAAGAAGGAGCCTCCACCACACTCCAGGGCAGAGAGTTCCACTGCTGAACGGCTCTCACAGTCAGGAAGTTCTTCCTCATGTTCAGATGGAATCTCCTCTCTTGTAGTTTGAAGCCATTGTTCCGTATCCTAGTCTCCAAGGAAGCAGAAAACAAGCTTACTCCCTCCTCCCTATGACTTCCCTTCACATATTTATACATGCCTGACCTGGTTGTTTTGTTCCACTAATATTTTTGTTTCCATTCTATTAACAGAACAGGTTTCAAGGCTTCATTTTTGATTGTGTCCTGAACCAAGCTTTCGACGTATGCATCATGCTCCTCATCTGCTTAAACATGATCACTATGATGGTCGAAACAGATGACCAGAGTCCAGAAAAAGTTAGCATCCTTTATAAAATCAACATGGTCTTTGTGGCCATCTTCACTGCTGAGTGTATGTCTAAACTGGTGGCACTGAGGCACTACTATTTCACCAATGGCTGGAATATATTTGATTTCGTCGTCGTTATTTTATCCATCGTAGGTAAGTTAAGTCCAAACCCTACCTGCAGACTTGAGAAGCAGTAGTTTGTTGTTAGATTGAAATGATCCACATTGGCAATCCCATAATAAGGAAGGCAAACGGCTCTTGATAGAAAATTGGCCATAACAACACATTTTGATTAGGCATTGATGTAACATGTCACAGTTGATCACCTGGTAATGTTGACTGATGTACAGAAATTATACCTATGCTTTTATTTGTCCACATCCAACAAAATCAGCCATCTACAGGATGTTTCTATGTCCTCCAGGCAAGTTTATAGTATGCTTCCACCACAGGTGCATAGAGTTCCTCTAGAGAACCTACCAATTTCTAGAGAGGATACTTCTCCAGGAATTTTCTAGGTCCTCCAGGATGACTATGTGATGAACTTCCAGCAGACGCTGTTCATTTCAATAGGGTTCACTATTATCCACAATTGTGTTTCCAGATTGTACTTACTCTGTATGTCTGTATGGAGGAAACGTTCAAACCTCATTCTGGCTCATTCTAGTTTAGTAAATTAAGCACTTGCCTCATACTCACATGGGGTGAAATAAAAGAAAAAACCTAAATTGTTACCATTGTAAAATAAACTTCAGAACTAGACCTACCTGGATTTGTCACGTAATGAGATTTTGAGTTCTTGTGTTGACTTCACCTTGATAGCTTCTAACTGGACTATCTGTTCTCTCTCCCAACCTTCCTACTTCTTCTCCCAAGGCTCTGTGTTATCCGACATCATCCAGAAGTATTTCTTCTCCCCTACCTTGTTCAGAGTCATCCGCTTGGCTCGGATTGGCCGGATCCTGAGACTTATACGCGGGGCCAAAGGAATCCGAACTCTTCTCTTTGCCTTAATGATGTCCCTTCCCGCACTGTTCAATATCGGGCTCCTCCTGTTCCTGGTTATGTTCATTTATGCCATTTTTGGCATGGCCAACTTTGCCTACGTTAAGCATGAGCATGGCATCGACGACATGTTCAACTTCCAGACGTTTGCCAACAGCATGCTCTGCCTCTTCCAAATTACAACGTCGGCAGGCTGGGACGGTCTTCTCCATCCCATCTTGAACACGGGGCCACCCTATTGTGACCCCAGCCGCCCAAATGCAAATGGCTCCAAGGGAGACTGTGGCAGCCCTGCGGTGGGGATCCTGTTCTTTGTTACTTATATCATTATATCCTTTCTCATTGTTGTGAACATGTACATAGCCATTATTTTAGAGAACTTCAGTGTCGCTACTGAAGAGAGTACGGAGCCTCTGAGCGAGGATGACTTTGATATGTTTTATGAAATCTGGGAGAAGTTTGACCCTGAAGCCACTCAGTTTATGGAGTATTCTGCACTTTCCAATTTTGCCGACGCTCTGTCGGAACCGTTGCGCATTGCGAAACCAAACAAGCTTAAGCTCATCGCTATGGACCTGCCCATGGTGAGCGGAGATCGGATCCATTGCTTAGACATTCTCTTTGCTTTCACCAAAAGAGTGCTAGGGGAATCTGGAGAGATGGATGCCTTGAAAATACAAATGGAGGAGAAGTTCATGGCGGCAAACCCTTCGAAGATTTCTTATGAACCCATCACCACCACACTCAGGCGAAAACACGAAGAGGTATCTGCCATTCTGATCCAGCGGGCCTACCGGAGTCATCTTTTCCAGCGCTCCCTTAAGCAGGCTTCCTTCTTATACCGCCAACAAGCTTGCAACCTTGGGGACGATGCGCCTGAGAAGGAAGGCCTCATTGCCTCCATGATGAGCGAAAACTATGGGAGGCCCATCGATAAATCAGAAACTCTATCCTCCACCTCTTTCCCTCCTTCCTACGACAGCGTCACCCGAGGTACTAGCGATAACTTCCAACTGCGGTTGACGGACTCCAGCAAAAGCGACCTAGAAGACCCATTATCGCCCGACAGAGATAAAGAGTCGATGGTTTAGGGATACTTTTTTTCCTTTTGTTGGTTTTGTTTCAGACACTTTAAATATATTGTTTACAGAATGTAATGCTGTAACTACACAACAGTTGAAACAGCCTTTTTTTAAAAAAGCAAAACATTAGTTGCAAAGGAAATAAGAAGGGAGGTTAGCCCTTTCAGGAGGGGGTGCGTCACTGTGTTATATCCATATATATAACCTTTGGCCCTGCTCTTTTCAAACTTTGCTTAATGTTTATATTTATATATGCACAGGGGCAGGGGATAGAGGATCCGGCACAAGGTCACGGCAGTTATAGCAGCGGGTGCGGGTAGCACAACAGTAAATACTTTATATCCATACACAGATAAAAACCTGACCGTATCCTTTCATTTTAAGGTCTTACTTATATTAGTGCATTTACTTACCGGCGACATATGACCTTGCATCCTATAACATGAAAACCAGAGCAAAAAAAAGAAGAAGACGAGAATGAGAGAGCGCGGGAGGAGGAGGAGGAGGGAGGAGGAGGAATCACGTAGCTGCTGTAGCAACAATGTAACACTTAATGTATATGTTGTGAATGGTCTTTCATAAATTTATTATATTTGATATTTTTTTACTTAAAACAAAGCTATAATTGTCTCCTTTTCCATGGAGATGGGAGGACGCGGTGCGACGAACCCGGAATGAGAGGTGGTTTCCCAAAGAGCAAGAGCAAAGGATGGTCTGTTGAGAAAATGAGCTGCATAGAGAAAGGTTAGGTTGACAATAGACTGGCTGTGTGTTACAACAGGGAGATATTCGCTTGGAACATGGAGCTCCCTGCCAGCAGTTTAACCCAGGGAACACAAAAGCAAGGAAATGATGTCAGCTAAAGCGTGACATGGGTTACATTTTATTTTGATTTTGATTTTTGTTCTCTACCCGCAGGATATTAGACACGAATGGATTCTGCTTGTAAACCTGCCAATAAAAGCACTATTTTTTTACCATGTTTCGAGCATCTGGCTTCACTTCTGTACAGCAGGTGGTTTTCTCCAGGTTCTTTTCGAATTAGCTCCTGGCTTTTGAACATTCCCCCAAACACAGTGACCTCAGATGCTATTGAAGCAATGGGGAGCTGCTACCTGGATCTGGCTTTGACAACGATTTTCTTTCAAGCTAAGCAAGCTTTGACTCCATCTTCTGAGGCATAAGTGGCATTATTTTGATGAGAGCAGACTGGTTAACTGAGCTGGAAGAACTGCTATTGACAGCATGCAAGGAGAATCGCTTGAGGAGATTATAAACAAGTGTTCCTCGACAATGAGGTAGAGATTTTCCCCCAAGTTAAGAAAGTACCAAAATCAAAATGGAATTAGGCAAAGTCAGAGTAGGAAATATCTAACTGCAAGACCTGACCACAACATCCAAAAAGCAGACAATTCTGAATGTGGATGTGGACAAAGTTGGTGACAATGAATGTAGTCCTCCAAGTGATTTTGGCCTAGCATGAAGTCCGCTGGATGTCTCTGGATTGAAAACCCAATACTTCAGACTAGCACAGCCAATGATGAGTTTGGTGCAGATGCTAGGCCAAAATCACTTGGAGGACTACATTCATTGTCACTGACTTTGTCCACATCCACATTCAGAATAGTCTGCTTTTTGGATGTTGTGGTCAGGTCTTGCAGTTAGGTATTTCCCACACCAACTTTGAGCACTGTGAACATGTAGCCCAATCCCTGCCAATGTCCTCCCCAAACACCAACCACCGAAGAAATGCTTTTGTTTGGGGATCATTTCATCCTAGATGTTCTGTTTCTTCTCCAGAATGGACATCTCAGGGTTCCTTTCTCTCTCTAAATTTGCATGACCCCACCCACTCCCTCTCACTTAAACCTTTCCTACCCATTCCTGTGGCAAACACACAGCAAACAGGAATTGATCAGCAACTGAACAAAACATTTGGGAAGAATTCACCATGATTTAGAGGAGTTGTAGTTCACCTACATCCAGTGAGCATTGTGAACCCAACCAATGATGCATCTGGACCACACTTGCCACAGAATGACTCACCTACATGGGAGTTGTAATGCACCCTGCATCCAGAGATATTACCAAACTTCCCAAAACAAACAATGCCTTTCTCAAGTAACCCAGGCATCGCCGGGTCCCCAAGCTAGTAAGAAATAAAGTTAGCATAAATTCAACCACCCAATTTTCAGATATCTTTCCTTCTCTCTATACCACATTCAGGAGGTTTCCATAGTCCTCTATGTTCCATTTTCAGAAGGTTGCCATGTGGAGACAGAGAAGAGAAAGGCTACGTCTTACAATCTAGCTTCTCTTACCTAAATCTGGATCCTATCAGGGCTAGCCCAAGATAGATTGTAAATGAGGCAGAGAACAAGGTCATGCTTCCCCCTTTATTCCAGCTACCAAGATGGCTACTCAATATCAGTCCTTCACCATTTCTTTCCTCCTGTGCAAAGGAGCTTTGGAGATGGATATGAACTGAAATAAAGAGTAATGCACAGAGACAGGACTTACAGGAGTGGCCTGTTCACCTGCCTCTCTCTTCAGAGTGAGCAGAAGGGGAAGATGGGGTAAGAAGGAGGACAGACGTCCCTGGAGGCCCATTGTCAACCTCTTCATTAAAAGGCTGGATCAGAAATAGCAAGCAAGGAAGGAATATGGGTGGAGGAAACACCATCCCTCCTTCTACATCCTGGTGCTCCTTCCATGTACCAGAAGCTGACAGTGGCCTTCTCTGTCCTTTCTGTGCCATCAACAGTCAAGAGATATGCTGCTCCTGGTTATAAACTAGGTTTCACAGGTGCTGAGAAAGTAATACAAAGCAGTGGGTAACCTTGTGGCCACTGGGTTAAGTTCAAGTGAATAAGTCTGAATTCCCAACATATATACTCCCATTTTACCAAACATTAGCATAAGTACACCAAGCATACGGTTATTCAGTTGTTATTGACTTCAATTCCCATAAGCACTCAACCGTGGGAAATTATTTGAGATGCAGTCCAATATTTGAAAGGGTGCACACATTCTCCATTCCTTCTTTAGCATGCTTGCAGCTGAGGTTTTTCAATAAATTCAAATTCTCAGTGACTATGTCTTGGTTTGGAGGAGGTAATCACAGGTAGGATACATTAAGTGGGATTATACATTGGAGTCCCCAGTGGAATGGTGGATTAAACTGCTGAGCTGCTGAACTTCCTTACCGAAAGGTCACAGGTTCGAATCCGGGGAGCAACGTGAGCTCTGGCTGTTAGCCCCAGCTTCTGCCAACCTAGCAGTTCAAAAACATGCAAATGTGAATAGATTAATAGTACTGCTCTGGCAGGAAGGTAATGGAGCTCCATGCAGTCATGCTGGCCACATGACCTTGGAGGTGTCTATGGGCAACGCCAGCTCTTCAGCTTAGAAATGGAGATGAGCACCAACCCCCAGACTTGGACTTAATGTCAGGGGTAAAGCTTTACCTTTACCTTATACACTGCACACAGTATACATCTACAGGCAGTCCCCAAGTCACAAACATCCAACTTACAAATGACTCATAGTTAAGGATAGGAGTGAGACAACAGCAAGCGAGAGAAATCTACCCTTCAGAAGGGAAATTCACTCCCGGAAGAGTTATTACCATGGGGAAAAGGTGTCTCCATTGAAGCTTTATCACCAATCCTTGTTTCCGCAACAAACCAAAATGTTCAAAAGCCAATTATCACAGGGACAGAAAGAGGAATGAAATCTTCTGAATAGGGATACAGACAGAAAAACAAACACCACAGGATATTCGCCCTTCCCTATCATAGAATCATAGAATCCTTGAGTTGGAAGAGACTTTGTGGGCCATCCAGTCCAACCCCCTGCCAAGAAGCAGGAAAATCACATTCAAAGCACCCCTGACAGATGGCTATTCAGCTTTTGCTTAAAAACCTCCAAAGAAGGAGCCTCCACCATACTCCAGGACAGAGAGTTCCACTGTTGAACAGCTCTCACCATCAGGAAGTTCTTCCTAATGTTCCGGTGGAATCTCCCTGTAGTTTGAAGCCATTGTTCCACGTCCTAGTCTCCAGGGCAGCAGAAAACAAGCTTTCTCCCTCCTCCCTATGACTTCCCCTCACATATTTATACATGGCTATCATGTCTCCTCTCAGTCTTCTCTTTTGCAGGTTAAACATTCCCAGCTCTTTAAGCCACTCCTCATAGGGCTATGCTATCCAAAGCTGTCTCTCTCTCTCACACACACACAAATATGTATATGGCTGGAGATACATTTAAAAAAATCTCTGTTACAGCTTACATACAAATTCAACTTATGGACAAACCTGAAGAACCTATCTTATTTGTAAGGTGGGGAGTCCCTGTACACGTATGCAATTACCCAATGTAGGGTGCATATACATTGTGAAATAAATGCAGTTTGACACCACTTTAACTGCTTTGGCTCAATGCTATGGAATCATGAAAATTGTATTTTGACAAAAGCTTTTGCCTTCTCTCCAGAAAGCACTGGTGCCTCACCAAACGACAACTACAGGCACAACCTACAGCCACAAAAGGCCAACTATGTGTGTGAAGCATGACACCAACAGGATTCTAGCCTTTATTTTCATGGCCGAAGACCCTAATCCTTGGCATCTCCACTGCAAAAGGGATGAGGTGGTGGTTTTATTTTTAATTGAATGGGGGAGAAAGCAAAATGGATCGCTTCGCCCATCCAGGCCAAGGGATTTGAGCGCTTAGCTCTTAAAATGCTGGCGTTTAATTTCTGTGTATTCAACCATGTTTGCAGTGCTGAATTACAGTTGTTGTCTCTTTCTCTCTATTTTTCAATCCTCTGCAACACCAGTGTAGCAACTAGGTACAGCGTGGTCCCCTCTAGAGTGTGAATTAGCTGTAATAACTTTACAAAACTTTCTTCACCAATGGCAATTAAAACGAAACATTTATAAACTTCAGCCATTCCTAGTTAAACCCAGATTTTTGAAAGAAGGCTTATACCTGAGAGTAATTAAAGTTGTACTTGGGAACAAAACATTGAGATGTCAGGACACAAACTGCTTCCTGCAAAAAAAAAGTCACTCTTTATATCGCTGTGTGCCAACTGCATTTTACCAGAAGAGGTCAATCATTAGAATTCCCAGAATCCCCCAACTAGCATGGCAGGGAGTTGCACTCCAAAAAAAAAACCCTTTGACATTGATTATCAACCAACCAGTAGTTTGACAATAAATTTAAACATGGAGGAACTTAACATGTCAACCTTCATAGACATGGATCCAAAGAGAGTCCAAAAGGATAGACCATTCTGTTTGTCCATCCGTCTGTCTACTTGTCCACCCATCTGACTGTAGAGCTCATTAAAGGCCAAAATACTTTGCTTTACAGAAGTGTGTTGTTGCTGTGACAATCCATCCCCAGATTCCACAGTAAAAATGTTACCTAAGTTCAGAGGGAGCAAAAAATGGCCTGATCACCTTATTGTGCTATTTGTCATTATTATATTTACTAGCTTGGGTACCGGGCGTTGCCTGGGTTACTTGAAAAAGTCAGTTATTTAAATTTACAATTTGTATAAGGTTGTGAGTGAACTACAACTCACATCATGCCAGGTTAACCCCAAAAAACTCCATCATTAAAGTTTGTTATGTTGGGCAGGGTTGCTCTAGATGCATCATCGGTGGGGTTCAGTGTGCTCTCTAGCTGTAGGATAAAATATAACTCCCACTATGGTGAGTCAGTTCCCTCAAACCCCTCCAGTACGTTGAGTTGCTCATTCATAGTGCGCTCTGAATGTAGGTGAACTACAACTCCTAAAAATCCCTCCGAAGACCCCCAATATTTTATGTTGGTCATGAGGGTTCTGTGTGCCAAATTAGTTCCAGGTCCATTGTTGGTGGGGTTCAGAGTGCTCTTTGACTGCAGGTGAAATATAAATCCCAGTACCTACAACTCCTATAAATCAAGATGAATTCCTCTCATGTCTTTTCA